AGCCTGTTAGGTTATACGGAAGAAGGGGTTTAGGGTTGCTGATGCAGCTAAGGCCACTAATCAGCTGACCTGGACAGAGAGGCGTTATCTGGATTATCGGGGGCGCAGTGTCATCTCAGGGGCCTTGCAAGCAGAAGGAAGTGCCAGTCGGAACAGCATAAGCACGAGAGATGTGCCGAGACCCAACTGCCCTCGCCGGTCGTGAAGGTGGAGGAAGGGGCGAATGTGGCGTCCACCCCGGGGACTCCAGAAGGGGTCACAGTCCTGCCGACACCTTGATTTTAGCTCAATGAACCCCATGTTGAACTTCTGACCTCCAGAACATATGATAACAGATTTGTGTTTGTTAATCTGTGACATTCATGGGAATCTGTCACAGCAGCAGCAGGACAGGAGTGCCGAGGCTTCAGCCTTGCAGAGAAGCTGCATGCCCGGCCACGGTCCCTCTCGGAGGTGGCCTGCCCTATGTCCCCACTCTGGTAGGGATTTTTCTCCATGCTTATGATGGGGTGGCCTCGTCAATCTGTTTTCGTGTCACCTACACTTCTGCAAACCCATTCAAATCTGAAGATCCAGCTCACTCTGCTTTCTTTTGTTGGGTTGTGAGAGTTTAAGTGATTACGGTTTCTGCAGCAGGGACACAAACTCAGTCACACCCAGGGAACCCCAAAAGGAAATGCAGGTCTTTTGTTTCCTACCCTGAGGCCAGTACCCGGGCTCCCCAGCCCTGCTAACTTCCCTGGTCCCTGTCCCCAGCTCAGCTTCTCCTCCAGAGGCTGCTCTCTCTCCCCAGCCTTCAGCCAGGCCAGCTGGGCTTTGGGGGCAGGGTCCCAGCCCTCCTGGTGACAAAGTTGATGGTATCTGGACTCCATGCACTCCATGGTGTCTGGGCTCCTTGCTGCTCCCTGATGTAGGGCGCTGGGCCAGGTCAGCTTCCTCATGAGTGCACGATCTTGGCCACGCACTGAGATACAGACACACCCACCACTGCCCCTGATCTCGGCCCTGGGCCCCACACTTCAGCCTCCTTCCACCAACCCCCAGACTCTCCTAGCCCCCTGGCCACTCAGCACCTCATGCCATCTTGCTATGGCATGGTCTAGGGTCACAGGGACTCTGGATGCCCTATCACCCCACTAGCCTGGGCCCCTCCCAACTGTGGTGTTGGGCCTGAAGGGGTGGGCTGTGGGCTGTGCTCCCTGACTGCTGCCCCCAAGCTCACGTCTGGACTCCACCCCAAGAGGGGCCAAGCAGGGGCACAGGTCACCCTTGTCACCCTGCCAGCCGTGTCTCCCCCTCCACACCCCGTCATTGCTGGAGGTGCCCTCCTGTCCTGGGAAAGTTTCCCTCCCATCATAGCCATCTTTTCCTGGGAGGACACAGAACCTCCCTTGAGAGCAGGTGTCTCCCCCCACCCACTCCATTCTGCACCAGGATCTCCAACACGGTTCTCAGCGTGGACACTCCAGGGACTAGGAGGATGGCAGTGTGGGTCCCTGTTCCCAGAACACCACCCCACACCTCTTCTACTCCATCTCCCCATGTCCTGGGGCTCTTTCTCTCTCTGCAACTGTCTCTCTCCTCCTTGCCATCTGGTCACCCCCTGCTCTGCGTGCTGGGACAGAGAACAAACTTGACTTCAAGACACACAGTTTTTATACTCTTTGGCCTCAGGATCCCTTTGCTTTCTTGAATTACTGAGGACCCTAAAGGGTGTTGCTTACATGGGTCTCATCGATCAATATTGACCATGTTAGAAACTAAAATGGGGGATGAAAATGTTTATTTGTTCTCTCCCTTGCATGTTGATGTAAATATCATTTTTATGAAAAACAGCTAGTTTTCCAAAACAAAAACCATGAGTGAGAAGAGTGACGTTGTTCTATGATTGTGAAAACCCTTTAATGTGTGGCGTTACAGAAGACGCCTAAATTCTCACCCTGCTTTTTCATTCAACGTGTTGTAACATGCTTGGGCCAAGTATTTGAAAAAAAAACAGCCTCACACAGTTACATAGATGGAAAGGGGAGAGCACTTTGTTAGGACACCGGGCCTTACTGCTACGTGAACCTGGCAATGGGGTCTGAAACAATTATCAGTGAACTTCGCCTTTTCTGCTGCATTGAAATCCTTTGGTCTGTCTTGCTTCTTCGACCCATGTGTAATTTTTGTGACACTGTGTATTGTTCATTGGGAAAACACCGGCTCGCTGAGATACACACACTTCCCCAGTGTTGACACCCTTCATTACACACAACAAAGACAGACCCATTACCATCAGGACCCATCTCTGCAGAAATCCCTGCGTGTTGGAAGCTGCCACACTTTCCACAAAGATTACATACGCTCTAAAGTTCTCCTGAGTGCTTGAAAGCGTTAGTTTGTCATTGGCAATAAATTCCATCACTTCTTTTCCTCCAAGTGACAGGCTGACTTTGTCCGTTCTTGAGAAAATGTCTGGCAAACCCCCAAGTCGGAGGAGTTCATCTTTGGTTGTTCTTTCAAGGGAAAATAGTCTTTCATGAGAAGACTTCCTAGTTCAGGTCACAGTCCAAACACGTGCCCGATTTCTTTCACGGAGACATCTGTCGTCCTTTGATACACAGCAGACGTGCTTATATGGGCTCCACCAGTTTCATCATACAGATCACTAAAAAGACGTCCTCGGGGATCTCAGTTCAAAGAGACTCATAACTTTTACTGTCTCGTCAAGGCTACACTTAAATGGAACATTTTTTTCCTTTTCCTTTTCAATGAAGGATACCATGAGTGCCAGCTGGTACAGTTGGGTACCACTGCCTGAGTTGGCCAGAAGCCCTGGGGGTTTTGCCCACTGTTCCTTATGCACCGTTGGTTCAGGCATCAAAAGACAAAGAAAAAGCAAATGATGTCTCAGTATTATTATAAAAATAGCTGTGACCTTGTGCATTGCCTTGGAGGATCTTGGGAACCTTCAGAGCTCCCTGGATGCATTTCGAGAATCTCTGGGTTTAACGTTCCACTGTAGAAATTCTGCTCATTTTCCCTCCGTTGTTGACTGCAGTTCCTGCTCTCCGCTCTCCTGTATTTTAAGCAGCCTCCCTCCACCTGGGGCAGCAGAGCCTGCTCCTGCCTCAGTGAGACTGGACCCTCCTTCCTGTGTCCCTTTTAGCACACCAGCAAGACTTGTCTCAAATCTTCTGTTTTCAAACTAAATTACATTCAGGAGCCTTTCATTCCTGAGGGGCCTCCGTGCAGCTCCATGCTGGGCTTCGCCTGCTCACACACCTGCAGTGGAGTGACGCCCGGTCGCCCAGTGTTGGTGCTGAGCAGAGGCACAGACTGCTCTGGCCCCTGCAGCCCCTTGGGACCCAAGCTCCAGGTCTGGTTAGTGTGCCCACCAGCCGGCAGGCATCCCCAGACAGGGCTCCTCTGCCTCCCTTCCAGTTCGCTGGTGATGGAGGAAGGAAGTTATGTTTTAAAGACTCTGGAGAGAGTGTCAGTGCCCTTTCTCTATCTTGGCACCTGAGATCTGTCAACTCCCAGCTGCTGTCCCACTGGGCCTTTTGAGTTTTGGGGGGGAGGGGGTTGGGTTTTTTTGTTTTTTCTGAAACACAGTCTCAAGCTGTCACCCTATCACCCTAGACAGAATGCCATGGTGTCACAGCTCACAGCAACCTCCAACTCGGGCTAAAGCAGTCTTCTTGCCTCAGTCATTCTATTTTTAGTAGAGCCGGGCTCTCGCTATTTGCTCAGGCTGGTCTTGAACTCAGGAGCTCAAGCAATCACCCGTCTCAGCCTCCCAGAGTGCTGGGATTATAGGCGTAAGCCACCTCGCCCAGCCTGGCTGGACCCTAAAAGAGGACTTCACATCCCAGATGCGATGCCGTTGTGCTCGTCCTGGTCAAGAGGGTGGCCTGGAGGTTTTCTGGCCCATGTGTATTTAGCAAGAGTGGAAGTGGAGGAGGCCGGGCCCGTCCCATGTGGCTGAAGGTACTTCTCTGGAAGTGCATCACATTGTCTCTGCAGCTTTACCCAGACTAGAGGCTGTGGGTGCCCCATCTTCCCCAGGTTCCCACAGCTGCTTGACCCTTTTTTTCCTGGTTTTTGAAGCTGTGACAATAGCCTTACTTGGGGTCTGAATGGTGAGCATGTTAATGGCTAGCTGGGAGTGGGAAGTGAAGTTCAGCCAGAGCCACTTTCAACCAGAGAAGCCTTCAGACATCCGTTAGGATGACTTCACCTTGGCCCTACCCTGGGGTGTCCCTGTCAAAAACATGAGGACTTGAGGGTTTTCAGAAGACAATGGTACCTATGTTGCCCTAATTTGGTAGCTAAGAATGGATTCATTTTATCTCATCTCAAATTAAAAATATTGTCTTTGGCAGCCGTGCTCTGACATCCAGAACAGAAGAGTGAGTTCATTGTTATCTAGGGACATTCTTCCCAGTCAGTTCAACTTGGCCAGTTCACCAGGAAGCCGGGTAATTTAAAACCAGATGGTTTAGAATTGTGGTTTTCCTGGGACTTCTGGGTGCTGGATAATTCTGGAAACTCTCCAAGCCACACCTTTTCAGTGGTGCTTTACCAGGGCAAACCAGAGCATCCACTCAACTCTCGGTCCCCTTCTGGAAAGGGCACAGAACTTCTTGCTAAGGAAACATCACCTGGCTTTGCCCTCAGGACTCCGTGGCCCTGCTAGGGAGGGTACAGTGATCTGCCATCCAAACACGGGTATAGTTGTAAACTGACACAGAAATGCTTAAATGCGATGTCATTTCTATGAAATTAATGCTTCAATTCAACGTACCAAACCTACTGGTCTTCCCCACAGAGAGAGAGAGAGTGGGGCATGGAGTGGGGCCTGCCTGGTAAGGGACCCCGAGTGCCTGTGCTGACTTGGAGTCACTGTTTCTGTGGGTGAGAGAGCTCCGGTGTGTGGTGGGGGGGGTGTGTACGTGCAATGCCTATTGCATAAACAAGACGTCCAATGTATTATCTCTTTCTGGTATTTTCCCAAGGGAGTTGAAAGGCAAGATTAAGAAGGAAAGCTCTAAGAGGGAGCTGCTCTCCGACACAGCGCACCTGAACGAGACCCACTGCACCCACTGCCTGCAGCCCTACCGCCTCCTTGTGAACAGCAAAAGGCAGTGTCTGGACTGCGGCCTCTTCACCTGCAAAAGCTGCAGCCACGCCCACCCGGAGGAGCAGGGCTGGCTCTGTGACCCCTGCCACCTGGCCAGGTGAGGGGGCCTTGAGGTCTAGTGACCCTGATGGCTTCTAGCCTAGCATGTCCCTTCAGTGTGGCTAGCTGACCCAGGGCAGATGCGAGTGTATGTGAGAGTGTGTGAGTGTTGTGAGTGTGTGAATGTGTGTGAGCTTAAGAGTGAAAGTGTGTGTGTGTCAACATGTGTGAGAGTGTGAATGTTGTGAGTGTGCGAATGTGTGTGAGCATAAGTGCGGGTGTGTGAGCATGTGTGTGTGAGTGCGGGTTAGTATGTGAATGTGTGAGCATAAGTGCAAGTGTGTGAGCGTGTGTGTGCGAGTGCGGGTTAGTGTGTGAGTATGTGTGAGTGAGCATGAGTGTGAGTGTGTGAGGGTGTGTGTGCGAGTGTGTGAGGTGTGTGTGAGCTTGTCGGAGCATGTGTGTGAGTGTGGGTTAGTGTGTATGTATGAGTGAGTGACCATGAGTGTGAGGGTGTGTGTGAGTGAGCATGAGTGTGAGGGTGTGTGTGTGAGGGTGTGAGCATGCGTGAGGGTGTGAATGAGTGTGTGTGAGCATGTGTGTGTGTGTAGTGTATGTGTGAGCATGAGTGAGCCTGTGTGTGTGTGTGAGTGTGTGAGAGAGGGTGTGGTGTCTGCACATGCCTGTGCAGCACGGGCAGTGCCAGGGCCTGCTCTGGTCTCTCTGCAGAGTGGTGAAGGTCGGCTCTCTGGAGTGGTACTATGAGGTCGTCAGAGCCCGTTTCAAGCACTTTGGGAGCGCCAAAGTGGTCCGGTCCCTGCACGGGCGGCTGCAGGGCGGAGGTGAGCAGTGGATGGTGGTGGGGCTGGGGTTTCTTCTTGTTCCCAGGCATGTTTGACATTTCAAGACCAAGCAGCTTCCCTCTGAATGGGTGATCGCAGCACCTCCCTGTCAGTCCCTGTTTCTGGCATTTCCTGTGAAGTTGGTGGCTCCTTGTGTCATGCTCATCAGGACTTAGGGAAATCTGTCACAAGCCAATTGCTAGAGTGTTTTGAATCCAAGTATTTTCATCTTACACTAAACCAGTCTTCTTCTCTTTGGTCCCCCTCTAAGGCATTTGGAAAGAAACATCTTTTTAGGGAAGGATGGGATGATGTCTGAGGGTTACCTGGGTTTGAACTTGAAAGCAAATACCTGAGCTGTGTTTGGAGAGAGCTTGCCTTGCCCTGGTTGCTTGAGTCTGAGGCTTCTGCCATTAAGCCCTGACAAGCATTTAGGCTGGGACACTAAGTGGGCTTCTGGATGTCCCCATCTGCAGGATCAGAGCCTGGAGACGGTGCCTGGCCCTAGCAGCTGGACATGTCCAGAGCAGGGCTGGGCTTCTGGGTCAGGGTGTCCTCTGCAAGTCCCCACCTGGGCATCTCCTCCAGGCTTCCCTTCTGGAGATGTGTCCTGTTCATATCTGTCCCTTAAAGCACCCAGTTGATAGGGAGGGGCAGAAGTTGGGCTCAGCCACCCTCAGCGCATTCCAGGTTTCATTGGGAATGTTGTTTAATTTAGGACAGAGACCACCAAGGGGCACCTCCCCTGCAGTGGGTTTTTACACCGGGAGCTGTAGACCGCAGGGTGGCTTCTGGCTTTCCTTCATGGGTGGTAGTGCAGGTGGGCATAATAAATCTTCCAAGCCAAGAGATCTTCAAAAATAAGAGGAATACTGATTACCATGCCACAACGTGGATGTGACGGAGTGCCCGATGAAGCAGGAAGAGGCCACCACTCTGTTCTTGGGGCTGCTTCTTCACAGCTGTCATCGCTGTCTCAGCCTGGAGCCCAGCAGGAAATCCACCTCCCTACAGCTGCTTGGCCAGCTGGAGGCCTTTGCAGGGGTATGCCAGCACCTGAAGGAGCTTGCTCCAGCCCCACCCCCACCCCCACTTCCCCCACCCCGGGGCTTAAGGTAACAAGGGAGAAAGCCCCAGAGGCAGTTTCTTGGGACTGGGCTGGGCTCAGGAAGCTACGTCATTTAAAGGACACAGACTGACTAGTGCTCCAAGATGTACACACCACTAATGTGCCCAAAGGGAGAGTATTCAGCACATCCCCAGCACACACAAAGGGAGGGTATTCAGCACACTGCCGGGGGAAAGGGCTAAACTACAACTTGAACGTTACTTTAGAAATGAAAAGAATGTAACCTAAACATTTGTACCCTCCTAGTAATCTGAAATTTAAAAAAAAAAAAAAAGACACAGGATTCTCTAAGCGGGTCGGGGCCCAGTGCAGAGCTACTGAGATTAACACTGCCTGCCCCAAGGAGCCAGTTTTGGAATTGTCGTCTCCAAGAGCCACCAGATGGCGCTGTGGGGCAGCAGAAAATACAAAGCAGAGCCCAGCGTGGGTCCTGGAGCAGCTTCCCCAGCGGGGCTGGTGTGAGCCTCAGCCCCACCCCCGAGATACCCCGGGGCTGCGTCCCCCTGCTGGGCACCTGCAACTACAGCACGTTAAGATTGGTGCGACTAATGAGCACAAAATCCCGGGAAGTTGTATCTTAAAATACACTATGTATACATACTGGGTGTCCCAAAAGTCGCTCATAAAGTTGCCATGCAGAGGAAAACTGTAGCTAAATGTACCTTTATTTACAAAATATTCACTAGAAAATTTTACAAAGAGGTGGCCAACACATAGACAACAATTTGTAAATATGTCATAAAATACATAAAAAAAATTGGGTGGCGCCAAAGGAGTAGCTCAAAGGAGTAGGGCGCCGGCCCCACATGCCGGAGGTGGTGGGTTCAAATCCAGCCCCGGCCAAAACTGCAAAAAAAAAAAAAAAAATTAGGGCCGGGCACAGTGGCTCACACTTGTTATCCTAACACTCTGGGAGGCCAAGATGACTGGATTGCCTGAGCTCACAGATTCAAGACCAGCCTGAGCAAAAGCGAGACCCCCATCTCTACAAATAGCTGGGTGTTGTGGCAGCTGCCTGTAGTCCCAACGACTCAGGAGGGTAAGGCAAGAGAATTACTTGAGCCCAAGAGTTTGAGGTTGCTGTGAGCTATGACGTCACAGAACTCTACCGAGGGCAACAAAGTGAGACTTATCTCAAAAAAAAAAGTTTTTTTTTAAATGTTTCAAGTTAATGTTTTAAACCTGGCCCAGCCAAGACTGAATGCAGACTTTGTTCAGTGGGCGGGTGAACCGCTGGGGTCTTCTCTGAGTGGCCCTTCAGAGCACCAACTGCAGTCCAAGACCTGTCTGCAGGACAGCACTGTGGAAGCCAAGCCCTGGACGGGGGGGCCCCCCTCCTCCTCCTCCTCCCCCTCCTCCTGCTCCTCCTTGCCCCTCCTCCCTCTCCTCTCCCTCCTCCTCCTCTGTCTCCCCTTCCCCTCCTCCTCCTCCCTCCCTCCTCCCCTGGGTTTCCCCAGCATCTTTCACTCATCCTTTGTGCACAGATGGTTTTATTGTTGCTGTCTCTTCTCTATCAAGAGTGGTCAGAAAGTCTCTTTCCCGTGTCAGGAACATGGGAAACCCTTTGAGTGTTTTTGAGCACAGCTTGATGGGTTACTGTGCCCACACACGTGCCCCAGTGGGGCAATGGAACCAACAGGCCCCTGGAGATCCTGGGATGCTTTTCTCTTCATGGTCATCATGGGGCAGGGACGTGCAGGTGGGTGGGGGATGCAGGTGGGTCTGCAGCCCTGAGACAGTGACTTAATGCTGGCACTGCATGGTGGTCCTGTGCAGCCTGTTGTGCACCCCCAGTGAGCCAGCTATCCTGCTCGCTCATGCCTGAGCCCCCCAAGGCACAGAGAGCAAGGGAAGGACCACAGGGCAAGGGAGTCCAGTGGTAACTATCCCTGTTTGGAGCCCAAGGACCTGACCTCCATGGTGCCAGCTGTTCCCCTTATGGCCCCTGGAATAGGAAGGCAATAGCCAGGGGCCTTCCAGCCTTAAAACACTGGGATCCATTTACTGCCTCA